GGTAACAAGGTTGAATAGTAAATTCACATATTCTGTGTTCGAATCTTGACAATTTTTTAAGACTAAGTCATAAGAGATTTATTTTCATGAATTCTCCCTAGTTCCGATGTGAATAATCTATTTTTGACTAGATTGGAGAAGAAATTAAACTTAATACTTGATAATGATGAATTTAAATCTATGCTGCCCCATTCGAAGGCCAAAACACCCGGTGAGCTTGTTAAGGAACAACCCTAATGACCCATTTACATAGCGGCCACCCTATCATGGTACTGGGCCACAACCCAAAGCCGAGGAAGCCAAGGATTGTCCAGTTCGGGATTTATACCAGTTCTGTCATAGCGAGCTCAACGGCAAGCACTTACTCGGAAGTAAGGAGCTTAGCACAGGACAGGTCTCAAGTAACCCCAATCATGCCATGTGACCAGGGGATAGGGAGACAACGTCTAACGATGCTAACGAATAAGTATTCCCCCGATAAATGGAATATCAAATACTTTCCGTTTCAAGGATCGTAGGCGCAGAAGACTTCATGCTGATAGACCCTGTTACAGGACAAATGAAGTGAGGACCACATAATCAACTAAAAAAAAAAAGAATTGAAGAAACTCTAGATAGTCAGGTATACGAAGAGAAGACAAAGCCACTGTAAAAGGAGAGAGTTTCATCGGCAACCTAAGAAAAATTTTGTAAAAGGCTCATAGCCAAGACTACTGTAACTATTATCTTCTCCTTCAAGGAATTAAATCTCCAAGGGGCAAGAGTCTCTATTACATTAGATGTAACCATAGTTTTTCGACTAAGGTGAACCACGCATAGTTGATGTTAGCTGTATCCCAAACCCTTACCTCACACTACCTCAAGCACACACTAAGCCTCATTAGGCTTGAACCCTTCGTTGTCCTGTGATTAGGTAAAGAGATTTCGAGTACCACCAATACTTTAACAACCTGAATGCGTCAATTGTTAGTTGAACAACACGTCGTGTTAGTTGGAGCAATTCAACATTGGAGTTTTCAAAAAATTTAGGAAATGGAAAGAAACTTTCTAACAATACCTAACTACCCACCCTTTGTCTTTAATTATTTTCAACCATGAAAAACATATTTAAATTTCAAAGAATTGCAATAGTATTTCCCACCAAACTTTGAAAAATAAATTTTCCATATAAAGAAGAGAATTGAATAGAAGCACTTTCTGCGTATGGGGCACTCCCTGTTGGTGGAAATTCAAATCATACACGGAATTTTTTAAGTCTAACCATTTCGGTCATTTAGTTTGAGACCTTATTAGTCTTTTTATGTCCTCACTAAATGATTACATATTGTATACATAACAATTTCAGTATTTATATAAGGGTAAAATAACAATTACAACAGTGGAGTGTGTGCATGGGCGGAGTCATGATTTCCTCTTGAGGGGACTAAATAGTGGTATAACAAATTTATTTTTTATCACTATTTGAAACTTTTGTAGGGTTTAAAATTCAAAGGATTAAAATTTTTTTTAATTAGTAATATATCTAAAATTATGGGACTTTCTAAAAATTTGGGATCTAAAGCCTAAACTNCGGAGTCATGATTTCCTCTTGAGGGGACTAAATAGTGGTATAACAAATTTATTTTTTATCACTATTTGAAACTTTTGTAGGGTTTAAAATTCAAAGGATTAAATTTTTTTTTAATTATTAATATATCTAAAATTATGGGACTTTCTAAAAATTTGGGATCTAAAGCCTAAACTTTTTTTTTTTTTTAATGCTGTTGAGCCGCCCTTGGAAGCACTCTCTCTTGGTCTTCGTAGACGAACTAAAACACTCTCTGTGTCTCTTCTAGAAGGCGATCTGAAGAACCCACTACGGGTATTATTTGATGAATTAGTGAATGTGTTGGGATATGAAATTTTGATTTGTATTTCGTTGTACGAGATATTGTAAAGTTAATATTTAAGATATAACTTGAAGTGATTAGGTTAATAAACATGTTTTTTATTTTTATTTTCATAACTTGGTAAACGCAAATGACTCTCAAATATATTTTCTGTTTTCAGTGTTTATTACAAAATAAAATAAAAATTATCTCTATTTTTTATTTTTTTTAAAATACAAAAATAAAAATATTACCAAATAACCCCTAAAATTATCCATGTTTCTTTATATTTCACGCTTATGTTATAATACTTGCCTTTTATGAAAAATGTTGTAATAGAATGGATCATAATTCTAACAAAGCTCATGGTATTAGATCATGGTAAAGATAAAATAGTAATGCTAAACTAATTAAATTTTAGGATTAAATTTGGAGCCCAAATGACATGACAGTTGACTTCGATTTCTTAGATTAATGTCATGTCATTTGGGCCCAATAAAAATTTCAAATAATCAAATGTCATGTCATTTAAATTCTATTTGAATTCTAAAATTTATTCATTGGAACATTTATATCAAGATCAAAACTCTATGGCAAAACTCCAACTTTTGACCAACTAATGGGACCCACCACTAGTGTATCCAAATAAGTACTATTAATTTTTTAAAATTTAACAAAATCAAGTTCAATACGTTATCATACTGTGGTGGACCCACTAAACAGGGAAAAAAAAAGATATGATTTTTTATGAGAATTATGAATTATGACTTTGATTAAGAAGCACAACTGCCCAATATTGAATTTTGGATTTTCTAGTATACCAATTATGCATCTCCTCTGGAATATTGGGTATGATTCAATTATATTAAGGATAATTTATAATAATTTCTATTTAGTCCCCAATTTTTTAATTTAAACAATTAGATATTAAAATTTTTAATTCAATTTTAATCGAGTCATTTCATTTAAATCTGTAATTTATTCTGGCAAAATTATTGCTCATAAAAGTATATTTGTTCAATAAAAAACATATTTCTCTCAAATATATTAATATTTTCTCTCTCTATCTCGCAATATCTCTAAAATTGTAACTTTTTATGTGTCATTTTTGGATTTTTTATCTCATTTTTCTCCAAATAAAATAAAGTAAAATAAGATTTTCTAGTTAACACGTAAAAAAAAATTCACCAGGTAAGGATAATTTTTTACCCAAGTGATGTGTTGGTCACATAAGATTATTTTATCATGATAAATTGCCAAATTTTGATATTTATATCTATAATATAAAACATAACATGTTTTAATAAGGTTAGTTGACGGTCTTAAATAGACTCATCTAACGGCTATTAATATCCTCCTCAAAACTATTCATCCAATGTCCATTGACCATTGCACCCTTGTGTAAATAAATGTAATCCAATCCTATACCAAGTTTGGAATGGAATGAAAAAAAGTCTAATCCAATAATATTTTCTTATGCAAGGAAAAAGAATTTTGATTCAATAAATTATGCATTTTTACAACATACTGCAGAAAATATGTTTATAATTAATTTAATTTAATTTGTACAATACACAATTAATCATAAAAAACATATGCATCATGCATTCAAAAAAAATGTAGAACACAAACGCATAATTTGTGTTTGAATCTAAAAAAATTGACCACAAATATATTTGATCTTGTCAAAATATTAAAACAACTGTAGGAAACAAAAGCGAAAAAAAGAATTTCACAGCGATGAGGAAGGGAGAAGGAAGAAGAGAGAGAGAAAGAGAGCCAAAAAAATAATATCGAAGATGGTGGTGTAGCTCCCATTGACGGAGAGAGAGAACCAAAAAAAATAAAACCGAAGATGATGGATGTAACTCCCATTGACGAAGAAAGAGAGATGAAGAGAAATAAAAAGACAGACAAAACATAAAAAAGGGTAAAAAATTTAATTTGTTGGAAAGTTCATAGTGACGTGGAAAGGGAGAAGGAAAGAAAGAGAGAGCCAAAAAACTAAAATCGAAGATGATAGGTGTAGCTCCCGTTAATAAAAAGAGAGAAAAACCACAATGGCAACTAGCTTCTGAATTACTCGGTGAAGAAAATTATTGAGGGATAACATGGTAAATTGCTTTTCAATCCTATTGACAAACAAAGTATTCCACACCATCCGTGGGTTTAAGATATTCAGCTCAGAGCGAATATTTAAGGTTATTTACTACGGGCGAGGAGAAAAAGCCGTATGATTATCCCATGAGATTTTTAAATCCAAAGTTAGGATATGTGGGCTCCAAGACTATTTTAACCCAATCCCCCACTTAATTCCCATTAATCTTGCGAAACCAACACCACACCACCTAAGGGTATAAATTATAATTTATCTTAATCCCCCTTTATGTTTGTTGCAGTTACTCTGTCTATTCAGTCTTCGGGAAATTTGGTGAATTGAAGAAACTTTCTTTGAAATTATCTAGCTACCCCCACCTTTTTTTCAAATTTTTGCACCTGCCTGGCCTATTTGAAATTTCACTCTCTTACGATGGACCGGCTAACCATTCCAGTCGGGCCAACTTTTCGTTTTTCTCGCTGACCCGTCAAATGGTTCTGTCAAAGTTCATTTAATCAATTCATCCTTGAATTTCGATTGAGTTGGGGGTTGTGTGTGTAATATGTATTGTATATTTTATTCATATATATATACCCGTGTTTATGCACAACACAATCCCCACACAGTGGCAAGAAACCAGCGAAATCACCGCAAAGAAAGCACAACTGGCAAGACGTTTCAGTCTCTCGAGAAAATCGGACTCCGTGGCCGTGGGAATTCAAAACCGACACGCTATTTCTTACTTTAGACACCGACTGAAGATTTAGATTCCAATTCGAATCTGTGAGCCTCAGAGACACAGATACAGAGTTATTCGTATCTGTGAAGCACAGGAGAGAGAGAGAGATAAGGTTTTAGAGACAGAAAAAAAAAAGTGGATGGGGGGTTGCTTTTCTGATGTGAGAGGTGGCAAACAAGCCATAGGTGGGGGGACCCAACAGAGGGCCCAAGGTGTTGGTGGTGGTGGAACATCACACAACGATGCTGTTGACTTATTCTTCCAGACCAAGGGTCTCAATGCTCTCTTTTCGCAAATGGAGGTATCACTGTACATAATATTTCTACTTTATATATGCACTCATTAGTGGCATGGTTTCATGACCACCGCATAAACCCTAACTGCGAAATGCTGTTTATATATGTACTAATTCGTACTGGCACTCTACAATACCAAAAATTAAAAATTAAACATTAAACATTAATCTTGTAATATTAATTTTTTAAATAACAATTTAACTATTCAATTTAAAATTAAAATTAACAAAGAGAAAATAAAAGAGAGGGTGGTGTGGATTAGGGGAGTTGTATTGGGGAGTGTGTTGATTGAATTGTCTAATATTAGGATTTGTGCAGAAGAAGATGTTTTTGATTGGGAAAAAAAATTTGGGGTTAATTTTGTACCATTCAATTAAAATAGATAAAAGTTAGATTAATTTTGACAATCTTTGTGTTTTTATTAGTTGATAATTCAACTTTTTAACTGTAATATTAGATAGATTCTGTTCAACTCTAGTTTAAGGGTGATTATTTTGCACTATATGTTACGAATCTAACATAAATTTATGGTTTTTAATTTGAGTGTTAACTTTATACAAATCTGAAAAGTAACTCAAATAATAAATGAGTAGTCAGATATAATATCAATTTCAACAAACACAATGTCTAAAGTTGTATTTATTTTTTTTTTTTAATTTCTTGGTATTATATTTTATGAATCTGTTTAATAGTAGAGATTTCTTAGTAGTTTTTGTTAGCATTCGGATCGAATGAATTTCTATAGTATGGGACTTATGATGGTAGGTTAATTGAATGAGAAGTGGGTGAGTTTTTGATTCGCCTTCAATCCTAACACGACATAATTTATAAATACACAGGGTTAAGTATTGGGTCATTTGGTATACTCGACGCGATACTGGAATGACATAGCACAGCATGGTTTGATTGACATGATTACCTACATTGTCTTTCTCTGTTGAAAAAAAGTTTTGTTCAAATCTTATTGTTTGATATATAGCTGCAATATTCTATTATCTGTTTTTCTGTAGTTTTTTAAATTGTTGTGTGTGCATGCGTATATGTATCTGGGTGCCCTCGTTGTATTCTCCAATATACTCTAATTCGTCTGGACTTTGTTCTAAGGCTCCATTGGAACCATTTACATGGAAGTTCTGTTATCCTCTGCCACTCACCTTATTTATAGCAACAACTAATGAAATTTATTAAGGTTTCTAAACTCGTATATAGTTCAGGCTATTCAATAGGACCATGTCTTACCCTATGATTTTTTTCTCATAGTTCAGTTTTTGCTGAATTCCAGAATGGATCTGTGAATCTTAATATTTTGAATAAATATGTTAAATGGATGAAATCAAGATTGTATGTGTAGAGACTTTATAGAACAGGAAGCTGGAAACTTGTTGTATGAGGAGAGCAGGGATATTAATTGCTGGATGAGATAACAATACCAATTCAGTACCATGCCAAAATTCAATCCCAGCTATTGATTTTGATTTAAATGATTTACTATCATTAATTGAAAAAAATAATAATGTGTGAAAAATAATAAAATAAAAAGATATTACACGTGTCAAATTGTTATCAGATAAAAAGTTAGGTATAATACCGAAAAAGTACAATTTGATACTGTAGGCGGACCCTTATTTGCTATATGCTCAAACTGATTCACTATCAAAAGGATGCTCTTTTTTCTTGGAATGAATGGATTCTTTCAACTCTCCTTTACATGAGACAGAATTGTCATGTGCAATCATGGTCCTTGGCTTAATCTTGGGCCAGAAAAGAGTGGATTGTACAAAATTATTGGAACTAACGATATCAAAAAAGAAAATGGAATTTTTATTAAATTGGTGCTAGGAGAAAAAATCCTAGTAGTTCTTGCAAAAGCCAGTTATAAAGCCTTATATGCTTGGATATTTTTGCCTCTCAATTCAACAAAGGCTTCATCCCAACTACATGCTTGGATATTTTTGCCTAATTTAAAAAAAAAAAGTTATCTTTTTAGCTTTTCTGTTCACCATAAACTGTCTATTGATCCTATTGCACATGGCATGACATTTTATTTGTTTTTTATGGGACCGCAGTTATCTTTATCAGCTTCGAAATTGCGGGATCGTGACATCATTTCTAAGGTACTTTTTAGCAAAAGCAGTTAGCAAGCAGTAAATTTTTTTTTTTTTGCAAGGTTCTTAGTGAAAGGTTTCTGTTTAGTATTTTCTAATATGTAGTTACACTTAGCACTTAGTCTTATGAAGTGGGGGACTATCTTTTTGTCATATCGGCCTGTCATAGCATTTGTGGCTTAAACTGCTTTGTCTTTGTCATCATGCTTGAGGAGGACTGCTCAAATTATTTTTGGTTGTTGGGTTTTCTGCAAATATTTAATGCATTGAAATTTTATGAAACCATCATATAGGTACAGGTTTTGGTGGTGGGGGGATGAAGTTTGAAAAACTGTAAATGTTGAAAAGAGATAAAAGAATTAAGAAAATGTACAAAAGAAGCGGACATGGCTGAGTTTGGCCACGTTTGGTTTGACGACCAACTTGTTTGGCTAAGAACTCAGTAAATAGAACAATTCCATGACATAAAAAAAGAATTTTTTTTTTTTTTTTGGTTTTTTGGGGGTGCTGGGGGGTGTTGACCACTAAAATGATGGAGAATTTCTATTTGTAACTTTTACTAACAAAGGAGCTTCCCAACTTTTGGGTAGCCATATCCCCATGCCTCTACCAAGCTTCGTCTCTAATTCAAAACATCTAGTTGATGAGTCTGGATTACCTCTAGGTGTTAGTGAGGAGCATATGCCTGGTGTGTTTGTCATTCTAAACAGCATACTGTATCCCATCCTTTCGTCAACTCATGTACTTACTACTGTTGCATAGGTACATGTTCTCGTTGATGAAAAATTTCAAAATAGAAGTCACTTGTTTTTGTATTTCAACCTAGGAATATCAATGAATCGTATTTTAATCTGGATCTGATTAGGCGGACATGGATTGGGTAGACCTATTATCCAAATCTAAATCCGTTATATAATATGCGATGGATTTGGATTTGGATTTGAATTTGTCAAAAAACAAGCCGATTATAATTTGATCCAAATTTTATATAAACATATATAGATATATTATGTAATTTAGTGATTATTTGATAAAATTGGGTCAAAATTCAAGTTCAATTTTCTAAAAGCAATGTTAATTAAGTTAATCTGATCGCATAAGAAATTTGGATTTGCTATTCGTTTTTTTACAAATTCGGGTATAGGTTGTCAAAATAAGATCCAACGGATAATCAGGCTGAATATGGGTCAAATTTATAACTTTGGATTGGATTTTTAAATTCGAATTCGGAGTAGTACAATTTTGTCAGTACGATAGGCCTATTTCAAGCTGCCAACCTAAATCAACCATAAAACATCCCACATGAAAACTTTAAAAAATGTTTTTTTCATATGCAGACAAAGAGAGCCTAGAGAAATAAAAAACATAGGGGGTGTTTGGTTTTCATCTACAAATTTAGGGAAAAAAATGAGATTTGGAACAAAGAAATAGAAAATAAGGCTGACTTTTTTTTTGAGTTTTATCCTGGAAATTGTGAAAAGACGGAGAACAAAACTATTTAATGAGGTCTGTCCTTCGAATACCCTTAGCAGCAAAACTAGTCATAATATATATAGGCTTCCTTTTCTTTTCCGTTCCTCTCTCCCTGTTTCTCTCAAATATAATCAACCCTTTCTCTCATCTGCCTCTCTATCTATTTCTCTCTCTCTCATAGTCGAATTCGAGACTCCAATTAAAGAATTGGAATACTTCTGTCACTTAGGTATTTCTCTTTACCATTCTCACTATCTCTGTCTTAGTTGTTCCCTCTCTCTCTATTTGTTGTGGTTGTTACCCAGCAGTTGTGTTGTTATCTTCGGTGGTGGTTCTGGTTTCGGTGGTTTTTGGGTTTCATTGATTTGGTGGTGGTTGTGGGTTTTGGGGGGTTCTAGGTTTGGTGGTGGTTGTGCGTTCGGTGGTTGTGGGTTTTGGTGTCATACACAAATTCAGCAACCAATTCAGTAGACTACATGACAAAGAAAGAGAAGTAATTAAAGCAATTTTTGATGCATAGTAACTGATTCAAGCAATTCTTGATGCACATTGAAAGAGAGAGAGAGACAGAGAGTTGAAGCGAGAGGTGGGAATTGTGGATTATTTTCCAAACAAATTTTATAATTTTTGTTTTTTAAAACTATTTTTAAAAATATATAAGCAAACAAGTTTTGTAGTCCAAAATTTTTTAAAAACTCTTTCCAAAAATAGTTTTTAGATTCTGTTTTTTGAGATGTAAATCAAATAGGCTCATATATTCCGAAACAATTATATTTATATGAGAATTTAGTGGAGGAAATTATATCTTTTTTCTTATTTTAAAATGAAAAAAAATGGTAATCATGACTTTTTTCTTAAGATTGACAATGGGATAGGTTTGAGATGAATTTGTTAGAGCATCAAATCAAAATTCAATTGGTAATGAGTGGAGTAGCCCCTCAAGTATATAACTAAACCTTGGGTGGTCCTAATTGTGAAATAAAAGCTCTCTTTACACCATCCCTCATGTGGAATCTGGGCTAGCACGTGGGGTCAATAAACAAATAACCATTTATATCGGAAAATTTAATTGGATAAAAGACTTGGACTGCTTGGTGCAACTCTGATTCCATGTTAGATTATCCAACACCAAACCAATTAGCAATAAGTGGAGTAGCCCCTCAAGTATGTAAACCAACCTTGAGTGGTCCTAATTATCCGATGTGGGATATAAGCTCTTTTTACCGAATGATCCATTTTAATTGTTGTTTCTTGGAAATAGGAAAACAAAAGAAACATAGAAAAAACATTTCATGTGATTTCCCGATAGCTGAAAAGATGACCTTTTGGTATTTTAATTCAGGCAATGCTCTCTTGGTTTTTAGGGGAGGGTTGGAAAGAAGGGAGTGAACCATCAATGATTTCGCAAGCAGTCATGACTAAGAACCTTTTCTTTGTAAACAGTGACCATAACAACTTGTAGATGTAGGAAATGACCCTCTACATGCTCTCAACTTTGTAGATGTTTTCCTATGCACCACCATAGATAACAAGTACTACTTGCATAAGTGATCTTTCCCAACTTTGAAGAGACGTGAAAGCAGAAGCTCGTATTCGACGTTTCTAACCATACCTCTTCGCTTCCCAAGATATTTAGGGAAAAGGGCTTGTTAAAGGGCTTAGTGTCTTGTGCGGAGTAAATAAGGAACAATTGTGAAAATTCACTTGTTAGAGACCAAGCCAGAAGCCAGAAAGTCACTTGGCCTATTAGCTAGTAATAAAACTAATATATTCTTCAATACATCCCATGTTATAATGCAGGCTTTTCATATTAAATTTTCAACTTCCTTTGATTGCAGAGTGATCCTATGGCAGTAGTATATATGAAGAAAAGGGATGGAACTCTTGAGGAACTTGGTCGCACAGAAGTGATGATGAACAATTTGGATCCTGCTTGGATTCAGAAAATTAATGTTGCTTATCAGTTTGAGATTGTTCAGCCATTGGTGTAAGATTTCTGTAATTCTCATTTATAGTGGTCACCACTTCCTTTAGATGTTCTGTTGGCCCTTGCATTTTTTCTCTAATGTCTATCCCTTCTGTTTTTCAGCTTTCATGTGTACGATGTAGACACAAGTTATCACAACTTACCTGTGAAGGTAGGTTCTACTCTCTATGCTTTCAGAATATTTCAAGTCAGTACAAGATAATGCTGTTTCTAATGCTCACAAGCTGGTTTTCCCAAATTTGTTGGAGAAAATATTGTAGGAACAATGGACATGTATACATTCCAAAACTGTATTTTGTACGTTGAATTAATGATCAAACATAATACTAACAATATAAAATGTTACTGGATTGCTGATTCTCTTGATACATACCATAGGATTGTGAAGTTAAATCAATCCAAACTCATGAAAAATGGTTTGATGCCAAGTTGGTGGATATGTTGAGCATGGAGGTTCGAGTCCTCTTCAAGGTATATTATTGAGAATGCTCATTGAATGAGCAATTCAATAAGAGAGCTCAAAATCTAATCAAATGGGTATATTATGGTCAGAATTAGAAATGGGTATACATGCTAGCAATCGGTTCACTTGTCCTTTGGGGTGGGATATGAATTTAAGATGAGCATAACTTAGTTGATTGAAATTAAAAGGAAAAAAAAAGTGGATCTCTTCTGTTCATGTTGACTTTCTGCCATTCAATTTATTTTCTACAGTTCAATTAATTTTACTCACTCTTGAGTTCATTTACTAGCAATTTGTTGAGTTTTGATGAAGTATGGCTGATTGGAGTCAAGTCAGACATTATAAGATGTAGAAGTTTTTTTTTTTTGGAGACTTTGACTCACATGTTTATTAGCATGGTGTGCTATGCTATCCTATGTACATAAGTACATTTGGGAGGCACTGTCCAGTAATTGGGATCCATTCTTTTGTTCTCTCTCTCTCTCTCTCTCTCTCTCTCTCTCTCTCGTTCTCTCTCCAAATAATTAGTACAATAGCAGCATTTGGCAGTCTGCATAAGTAAAGCTTAAATTCTTGTATGGTTCTTTGCAGATGCTTAAGTTGAAGGATCAAGAATTTCTTGGTGAAGCTAATTGTGTTTTGTCAGAGGTAAATTGCCTTGCATTTATTAGGTCTATGGAAATGTAAGACTGACCTTTCTGCTGTTCATGCTTTCAATACTGCTGTTCTGTTGATATTAACTTCACGTTAATAAGGTTCTGGAGCCTTGTCTTGAATTTTTTTTTAATCTTTAAATGAGGTTTGTTTTGTCAAAATATCAAAATATTCCATTTTAGGCACTTCCTGGCAAACCTGAAACATAGTTTAGCATTGATTACTTATTATTATCAATGGAAATTTTGTTCATTAGCATGATTTTCTTTTCTTTTCAAATCCATAACAGATTGTGACTAAACAAAGTCAGAGTTTGATCTTAACTCTCCACAATAGAAAAGGGCATGGTTTGAAAAACTTAGGGACACTTACTGTCCATGCAGAGGAAACTGTTTCTTCAAGGAGTGCTGTTGAGATGAAATTTCGTTGTTCCCACTTGGAAAACAAGGATCTATTTTCCAAGAGTGTAAGTATTTGCAGAACATCTTTTCCTGTGGATTTTCTTTTACTTACTGGTACTTTCATCCTTATTTTCTACTTTTCTGTTTTTGCATTCCTTTCAGGATCCTTTCTTGAGAATCTCTAGGATAATTGAGAGTGGAGGTTTTGTTCCAATTTGCAAAACAGAAGTCGTGAACAACAACTTGAATCCAATTTGGAGGCCACTATGTCTAACGATGCAGCAATTTGGGAGCAAGGTAACTTGTTTTCTTCCCTTTATTAACAACTAGAATAGATGAGATTCAATTTTAATGTTTGAGGTTGCTTATCAGGAAAGCAACAAGGGGAAACACATTCTTGATTTCTTTTGTTCTCCCACGGAGTTTTATTTTTCGACCAGCAACATTTTTGCAAAATCCCAACAAAATAAATGAGGAGAGAAAAAAAAATGCAAAGCACGGTCTCCCAGAATTATCATCTGTTGACCAACATGCCATGGCTGGTTTAGCTACAGATTGCTTTAACTTCATTTTTCCATTTACTGATACAATCTCTCTTTGTGGCAGGACAATCCATTAGTTATCGAGTGTTTTGACTTCAACAGCAGCGGCAATCATGCACTTATAGGGTAGATGTTGAATACCTATGTCTCTTTTTTGTGGTTTGCAACCCCCTTTGCGGGTTATGATCTGGCCCGCTGCCCAAAACAAGTTTTGCAAGCTTCAGATATTATTTTGCATTATCGTTTTTTCCTCTTCTGTGGAGCATAAATGTTAATTCTGTGGTTTATTTCAAACAGCAAATTACAGAAGTCAGTGGCGGATCTAGAACTACTTCACAAAGATAAAGTTGGTGCAAATTTTATCATTCCATCTTCTGGTCACCGAGGTCATGAGAAGGTATTTAATTTTATGTCATGCGTACGATCTTATTCACATATTACATGCCCTTAATGTAATTAAGGCCAGCAATGTTTTATGGTACAAAATGTTGGGCTATTAAAAAACAATACACCCAAAAATTAGATGTGACATAAATGAGGATGTTAAGATGGATATTAGTCAAACTAGAAAGGATAGAACTAGGAGTGAGTACATTCATAGAAGTGAAAGTAGCAGCAATAGGAAATAAAGTAAGAGCAAATTGACCTAGTTGGTTTGGACATTTTGTAGAAGATCTAGTGTTGCACTAGTGAGGAAGAAAATTTTGATTCCTGTCGATGGTAATGTGAGAGGTAGAGGTAGGGCGAAATTAACTTTGAACGAGGTAGTAAAAAAAATATGATGGTTACAGTTACACGGAAACTATGACCCTTCACATGGCATAATGTAGAAACATGATTCATGTAACTAAATTCAAATAGTTGGGATATAGGTTTTGTTGAATTGAGTGTGTATTACATGTCTGAACCATCCATGTGATTATCTTCCTATAGGTTCTAAAGGGTCAACTTTTTGTGGAGGGCTTTGTTGAGAAGCAACTATACAGTTTTGTTGACTACATTTCTAGTGGATTTGAACTCAACTTCATGGTTGCTGTTGATTTTACTGGTAATTAGCCTTCATCAATCTAGATAATCTGCAGATTCTGTTTCATTTTGTATTTGTAGTTGTTTGGGTTATGCATTGAAGCTTCAATTTTGTCCAGCTTCAAATGGAAACCCCCGAAGTTCAAATTCTTTGCACTACATAGATCCTTCAGGCCGGTTGAATGCTTACCAGCAGGTAAGGCGGGTTCCTCCTTTTATGTTTTCAAATCTGGGACTATGTACTCATCAAGAATTAAGCTGCTTATATTGGACTTAAAAGAGTAGACGATTCCTTTTTTATTCAGTAATATACCTCGTAGCTTTGGTTACAGAGAGACATCAGTTAACATAGTGATATTACTTGCAGATTTCATAATGTACTTCATATTATTTGGTGATTGTTTAATTTAGTAGGATAAATTATAGTTTTGATTATCCCATGTTGTTTGAACCGCTTGGCTTAGTTATCTGCAGTCCATGACCATAGTGTATAGGGTTTCCAAGAGTCTCTAGTTTGCTCAGAAGTACGGACACAAGACACGGATACGATACGATACGAACACGTAGACACTACAAATCTCAAAAAAGTAGAACACAGGCACGTTGAAGATACGTTATAAATAATTGTGTTTTATATATAAAAATTATATAATGTATCACAAATATAGTGATAATGATATATTATTCATAAAAAAATCAGTATTTTATAATAAGCAAATGTTATCTTTAATCATTTAGTGTGAATATTTACACTAACAATCATAATAATAAATAATTATCAATTTTTTCTTAGACATGTATTATACATATATACTTTAAATTATTGCTCTCATCTCAGTTGCTCATTTCAAAATCTTGTATCTTTTATTTTTATTTTTATATTTTGAGGACAACTTTAACATTTCTAGTCTTGGTAATTATATATTCTCTCATAGTATAAGATACTTAATAGTCAAATTTTTAAACTTGTTAATCACATGTCAATACATGTTTATTGTTTAAAAGTAGACACGGTTTAAAGAACTGTTGGACACATCACTAAAGAAGTGTCAGCACGTTTTTGAAATTAAGGTTTTATTATTTAATTATGGACACAGATAAAAGAATACCGGACACGTGTACGAAGTGTTCGAAGAGTGTTTGTGTCCAACATGTCACCTTCTTGAGTGTCCGTGTTTCATAGCTGATTTGCATTCAGCAAGTTGTATTATTGGGTGATTTGCATAATTTATTGACTGAACTCATACAGGCCATAATGGAGGTTGGGGAAGTCATCCAATTCTATGATTCTGATAGGCGCTTTCCTGCTTGGGGCTTTGGTGGAAGGACACACCACGGCATATCTCATTGTTTCAACTTGAATGGAAGTCCAACTGGCTTTGAGGTAATTCATCACCTTGCTTTTTTCTTGCATGACCGCATGTGTAACCCTATCTCATTAAATAAACATGCCTGATTTGAATTTGCTAATTGATGAAGCTTAATTGAATATTAAATGGTGTCTTACAATATGTGAAGATCACATTACCACATATTTTGAGTTGATTACCTATCCGTTGGAGGAATGGTGAAAATAACCTTTTGAATTGATTTCTTAACCTTTCCAAACAAAAAAATTGATTACTTAATGTTATGCTTGTTCCTAAGATTCTTTGACCTGATTATCTTTTTAGATCATTTTCAGTTGTGTTTCTTTAATTTTTGTTTCCTCTTCCTGATTTATTTTAAAAGCACTTCAGGACTTCATTCCCTGTATAACATGCTTGAAAGCTGTTGAGAGGGAAACATTTTTTATTGGGAGTATGGCCGACCATCGTATAATAATGGCGGTTACAGTATTGTTTATTTTCCGTCATCATGTTTTCTTCTGAGAATCGCCAAGCCTTTTATTACTGAATTAAGGAAGCTGCCCTGTGTCATATGCCGTCTTCTGTTAAAAATAAGACCTGCTTATAAGGTAATTAATTTTCATAGACTTTATGGGACTTCATAGTGCATATTTTGTCTGCTTTTGTTTTTGAAACTGCTTAATTTTCCCCTCAAGTATACTGTTATCTGCTTTTCTAATTGAAAATCATATGAGGGTTCTTTATACATTAGTTACTGTGGTAATTATTGCTAACATTCGTTGGTGTGGAATTGAAAATCTGAATAATGTTCTGTCTGATGTACCAATTCTTGTTCTGTGGCCTAATTCTCCATTAAATGGAACTGTCCAAATGGGTTAGGTCTGCAGCTACGCATGTCATGGGTATGGGGAGGAGATATGTATTGAACATGTCTAGTTGATTAGATATCTGGCACTTGAAATGGACTATATAACATAGTTATTAGTATCGTACGAGACGTACGATACACCTGAAAAACGGTACATATTGTGTCTCTGTATATTTTTTACACTGTGTCGTACGATATACGATACGATACGTCCGATATGTAACGATTCTGTTTTTTTTTAATTTTATTTTTGGTTTTTTAGGGCTAAAATGATTTATTTTTAAATCACTAGTCAGTGAAACATCATTTCAGTGGTTATGGTTTAAAAACATAAAATAAAGTCTGTTGTTAATTTTGTTCAATTGAGTTCAAAATTCGTAATTAATATTAAAGTTGTTCAAGCAGTTGATGTTAAAAGTTTAAATTAGAGGCCTTTGCATTTTGATATTACTGAATTATGTTGGGAACTTGAATAGTTGGTGAAATATTAATGAAATGCTATATTATTATGAGTCTATGACTTTTTTACGAAGGTATATATATATATATAATGATACGCCTTCCGATAAGCGATTTGACAACTATGCTATGTAATCATTCACCATTACGTCATTTTTTTCTTATCATTTTGTTATGTGATTGCTTTGGGATAATTGAAATGATCATCGTAAATCATCATGATGCGTGCATGCATGCATATTTAGCACTGAAAATGAATGAACAATTCGAACAGTCCGAGTGTAGTTGTATCTTCATGCTCCCATTTTGGTGAATGAGATGAATTTGACACCTACACTTGATAGGAATTATTTTATTTATCTTTTGACATCCTAATTCGGCCCTAAGACCTAGCAAGAAGGCAAAATGCCAGAGGAACATTATCTTGTTTGTTTTCTTGCAAAGTGACAGACACAATATAAGTCTTGGACTTAAGGACCATTGTTTGAGTTGAGTTATTTTGCTCTATCATCCATCTTTTATTTACTGTGTTTCTTATATTGGAGACACCACAGCAACAAATTGAGATGCAAGCTCAATTTTCCACAGTGGTGTGCTGTCTTGAAGTCTATACATTGATCCCATAATAGATATGGTTGTGTAATGCTGCTTTGTTAATATTGATCAGCATGGATGTCTGTAATGCTTGCAGTATTTTTGTTTGTGTGGTGGTCAAGCTATGTTTATTTTGCAGGTTGAAGGAGTAGATGGCATCATGACTGCCTATGCAAGTGCTTTACACAATGTTACTCTTGCTGGTCCCACTTTATTTGGTCAAGTGATTAACAAGGCTGCAGAAATAGCTAGCCAGTCCCTTTCTTCCAGCCACACCAAGTATTTTGTGCTGCTGATTATAACGGTACAAAATCAAGCAACTTACAATTATGGTTCTAGTCCTTTCTTATTCCTTATTCTTCATTGAAGCTATTTCATCAATTTTATAGGATGGAGTTGTCTCTGATCTTCAAGAAACCAAGGATGCTTTGGTGAGGGCATCTGATCTACCCCTTTCAATTCTTATTGTTGGTGTGGGAGGTGCAGATTTTAAGGAGATGGAGGTATATTCTTGTGTTAAATTGAAATGAACAATTAAATTTTTTTATCGTCGTTACAACCCTCAACTCGTCTTGATGGGGATTGTGGGATGTTTTTCGTTTACCCATCTCACTGTTAGATTTGGTATGGGCAATAATTCTTGTCATCTTGCAGATCCTTGATGCTGATAATGGAAATCGTTTGGAGAGCACTACAGGAAGGATAGCTACCCGTGATATTGTACAATTTGTACCAATGCGCGAAATGCGTGGTATGTACCTTCAGCATTTGTCTTAACATTTTGAAAGGAGAAGAAAGGTTTGTTTTAGATATAGATGCCATTGGCCAGGTAGAGTGGTCATTGCAATTGAATTAATAACGAATTCTTAGCTTCCATTTATGCTAAGGCTTCACATTTGATTTTTATAGTAGCCAGTTCTTTTGCATGAAGTACCTCATTCTAGCCAAATGCATGAATAGTAAACTTACTATGTGATTCAGCTTTCGAGACTTCTTTTTTTTTTTTTTAGGTATTTATGTTCATATTTTGATTTCTTGCACTTGATATGAAAGAAATTGCAGTAGAAAACATATACATCTTGTGTACACATTTTAGAAAATTCTGTTTGAGATATATGCTCCTTTACTCGATTAATTTTTCCTTTTCTTTTTCTTTTGTCTTTTTAATTTTTGAAGGAAAAGATTTGCATTGGGGTTCAAAAATATAGGCGGGCTCCATGTGATGGAATTTTTGTATTTATTAGATGTTGGCTTCTCATAGCAGTATGATTAACGTTGCCTATGAGAGGTAACATTAACATGGTCATATCAGATCAGTACGTCTCTCTTCTGATATATGTAGCAGTGTCCAGTGTATCAAACGATAACTAGTGATAGTTTGGTTTGATGGACCTTATTGCACATGTATCTGATATTCACTTGTTACCTCACATCAGCTGATAAGAAGAAGATTGAAGTTTGACTGGCCACATTATATATCAATTTATATTTTATGACCCAACTTTGCTAAAAAGGAAAAAAACTCAAAAGTCCCAGATACACAACTCTGTTCAACTTGTTTCATAACTTTTACATGTCTGCATCCCCTCATGCTTTATGTTTTTGTTTCTGTGAGGCTGATCTTCCATGTAGTTTATTAAACATGCTCTTTTCCTTCTCCACAGGTGGGCAGATCTCCGTCGTTCAGTCTCTTTTGGAAGAGCTGCCTGGGCAGTTTCTGAATTATATGCGGAGTAGAGATATCAAGCCTCATGCTATCAATGTAGCCCAAACTTCTGCTCAAGAACATCCACATCGGGTTTGAATCACCGACAGTTTCCAACATTGTACAGGCACAAAGATGATTAGCTATTGTACATTCTCTAGATCTAGAAATTCTTTGGTTTATGGAATTGTGCAGTGATTCTTTCATGTATAGTGCTGTATAGTGATTCTTACCGAATGTCTCTTGGGAGAAGATGGGGGATGATGGATTTGGTACATAAAGAAAAACATATGCAAATGCTGTTCCAATTGGATTTTGGATTTTGGATTTCTAAGCCCACCGTGCCTTCCTCTATGTTCGGAAGATTAGTTTACAGAACAATACTTACGTTCGACAAAGAAAATAATGCTTAAATATTTTGTACCAAACCCCAGTAGTACAAAGAAAACACCGGTCTGAATACCCTCCAACACTCACTTGAGATGCAAAAATAAGGAAATAAATTTGGAATGAAAGAAAGGAAGCACAACTCCATTGAGTTCAAGCATATGAATGGTGTCTGCGGCGATCCTTCTCCCTCGAAGAATATGAGGAGCTATAGTAGTCCCGATCTGGGCCAAAGAAAAGATTTTAGTGCTGCAACTAAATTATAAACAAGAACATACTCGATGAAATAAAAGGTAAATTACATTTCACCTTCCTATGGTTTAAAACTCTTTTCTTAGAGAATAGAGAGTAGAGATATAATATTATGTGCATAAAATTCATTTCGACAGGTTATTTTAGTAAAAGTTCTGGTTTTTGGCAATAAATCTCGATGCAAATTTTACCAGTAACATTACAATCCAAAACTATTAAGGTGTAAATGGTATGTTTTTGAACATGATGTAAAATGTAAAGGGCCCAAATTACAAGGGAGGGCAGTAAAGGGTAATTCGCCCAACATGTGAAGGAATAATATGTACCTCGAGATGAGTGATGTTTTGATTTCTCCGAGTGTCCTGCACATATAAAATCAGATTCAGCTAAACAATTCATGCTATTAATGACGAAAATAACAAACCTAGGAAGAAGAAATTCCAAGAGAACATATAATGCAGGGGGTTCAGTAAATAGCAGTGCAAAAGAACTGAAGTGAACCGAGCACCAAACAGTTGTGGACTCGGCTCACTTGTTCATGAACAATGTTCGAGATCAGTTACAATTCAGCTTAAACATCTTGTTCAAGCTCAACTCATTAATTTTCATCCAAGCTTGGGTTTCACTCGGCCCGACTTGACTCAACCGAAATGAGCTCAAGCTTGTTTGCGAGCTTAAACTCGAGTTGCGGCTCATGCTCAACTAACCTGAATCCTTTCCTTTGTCCCTTGAACGGTGGGTCCTGTCCTTGACTTTATCCTTGTCCCTTTCAGGCTCCTCTCGCTCTCGTTCTCTGTCAGATTCCCTACCCCTATCGCGGTCACGAGCCTTGAGTCTCTCCTTCTCCCTCTCCCTCTCCCTCTCCCTCTCCTTGTTCCTTTCCCCACTTGCCTCTGTTCTATGCTCAGACATTGATTTGGACACAGGTTCTTCTCTTGCCTCACCCTCAGAAGGAGGCATGCTTTTGGAATCATCATCACTCCTCTTTGACTCCTTCAACTTGTCAAGGGCATCTTTAATCTTTGTATCCTTGGAAACACTGGATTCCTGATTGACTGCCGAAGCCGACTTGGGAGTATTGGTATCATCATTTGCTGGTGCACCACTTAATGAACCTTCCTAAACAAACAGAAACAAAGGATAAAAGCAGTATTCCTAAAATAAACCAGTTTACTGATTCCAACACTGCTTTACCTTGCTATGTTTTCCTATCCGTTTGGTTAGGAATAAAAGAATAATGAAAAGTAAAAGTGAAAGTGATAGAAAGTAAAGTGAAAGAAAATAAAATGAAAGAAAATATATTTTCATGCATATATTTGGTTAGCATGAAAAATTTGCAAGAAAAGCCTTAAAAATTTTCATTCTATTGTTTGGAAGATGAGAAAATTAAAGACGAATTTTTTTTCCAATTGTCTAAATTATCCTTAATTATATTAAATTGGTAAAAGTTGAAAATTTAAAAAAAAGTGACTCCCTAACCTAATTCTGGGACAAGAGTCTTTCCAAACTCAAATCTCCAGGCCAGAGTTTAAGGTTAACCTAACTAGTACCAAGTTTTCTTAAAATTACTAACCAATTGAATATTTTTAAGAAAAATAAGGGTAAAATAGAAAGTTATATTATAGATCACAACTTTCTTGTTTTTTGTAAGAAAAAAAAGTTAGGTTATTTGTGATAAAATCTAAATATGGGGAAAAACTATCATTTTCCATTTCATGCTAGCTAAACATATGAAAATTTTGAAAAAAAATTATTTTCTTGTATTTTCTAACATTATCCCGCTAAACAAATGGACCCGGTGTTGCTTCATCCCCACAGGGATATGCGATTGCTAGTGACAGGTTGGCCATGCAACATATGAATAACAAAATGCAGAACAAAACATAGATGTGATAAAAAAAGAGAGAGGAACTCACCTTTGGAACTTTTTGAGAAGGCGAATCCCATGATTTATTAGAAGTGGTAAATGAACCCCCTTCCTTGCATACGGGTACATATTGTGCCTTAGGAAGGCTGTAAAGGTGGGCCAGAACCCTACAGACTTCATCTATCCCAGATTTGTCTGCATCAAATGCTTTCCACCATGGAGGATTTTCAGGGAGAGGTACTTGGAATCTACGAGCCGCAGCATATACAACCCCACAGGCCACTACCTCACTCTTGAATCTCACACACAATGTTGTACGCAAACTGCTCAAGAAATAGATTGCCAATGAAAACTTCAAAGGTAAGGAAAGAAAACATTGCCAAGTACTACTTCAAATAAGCAAGCACTTAAGTTTTTAGCGAAAGAAGTACAACATCCATTACTACATCCATATTATGTATCATCAAAATCTCAAAAAGTAATCCAAACGATAACAAAAAAGGAAAACCTACTTTTCAAGAACTTACACACAGTAACTCCATTTTGCAAGAAAGATATGTTGACACACCAACAACTTCTAGCTCAACAAGCAACTTGAAAAGATTTTTTACATAGTCATTGTTAAAGATAACTGTAAGATCCCAAACTCTTTTTTGATAGGAAACACAATTTTATTAAAAGGTAAATGATGTAAGAACAAGATGAACACATGAATGAACAAGTCATCCATCCAAAATGCAGTCCATCAACAGAACAGACGGATACTGATATTTGTTGCCACCATCTTACGTCCAGAAATTGAATGTCAACTATTGAAGTATAAATACTTAAATTACACCCTTTAACAACTTAAGCTTTTAGAGTAGGTTGTTTAACATGATATCAGAGTAGGGGTCCTGTGTTCGAATCTCACAGCCACCCTAATTATTAAAAAGATTTCCACGTGCTAGGCACCAAATCTAGCCTGCCCGTGAGGGACGTGTTGAAGTATAAATACTTAAGTTACACCCTCTTTAACAGTTTAAACTTTTGGAGTAGATGATTGTTTAACACCAACAATAAAATTATTTCACAACTCACACAAATGAGGACAGGTGACAACGTATACAACAATAAATAATTCAGTTTTCCTTCATTGTTTGGTTGCTTCAAGATTGTGGTGGAAGTTACTCCAGTTCGAAGGAATGAGTTGGGTGATTCCTTGGCATTTTATGTCTTATTTGTGAAAGGTGCCAAGGGTTTGAAAGGTATAAAAAGCTACCACACCATATAATTATGCAATTTTTGCTACATTCTGGGTCATTCAGTTGGAGCAAATTGCTAGTTTTTTTTATGGCAGGAGTGAGATTAATGATTGCTTATAAGATAAAAGTTCATTTTTTTGGCATTTTTGCGCACTTCAGTTACAAAGGACTTTGACGGCCTTCCTTTTATCTAGATTATGTCAAACTGGAGATCATTGAGAGGTAGTGTAGTTTTTATTGGATAGTATTGGTGTAATTTTGTTTTTCTTTGTTGTACTAATCTTCACTAGGATGTCTTGTCCTCCATTGCATCATTTTTTCCTGTAGTCATTTCTCTCCTCTAATAATAAAAGTTTGTTACTTATCAAAATTACGTACAATTAAAGATATTACGTACAATTAAAGATCATAGGAATATATATAGCTAAGATATATGTAAGTACATATGGATATACATGTGGTGATATTCAGAAAAATCTGGTCCAAACAATATGGTTCAACAAAACAACTCATTGCCATTCTAATTGAGAAATTATTTTGGTCAATCATAAATTGGTTCCGTGTTTTCCCAACAAAACAGCCATAACCCTCTCTGCTTCGTGCACTCGTCCTTGTAATGCCTCTTACAACTGTCCTATTGCCCCTGCTGGCCAGTCACTAATACTAATTGCTCACATCTAAAACCAATAAGTAACTTATTTTTTCAGTTGTTAACTATGACACCAATTGATGTAATCCTTAAGATGCTCTGGGAAAAGTAAAATCAAAGATGCGACAGAATACGAATTTTGACTTGCCATCGTAGCTGAGACCCACCTAAGACCTTGCAAAATTTAGCTTTGGTTATTTTTGGTTTGTTAAAGTGTTATTGTGCAAGTGCAATTTTATATAGATTTATAATGCCTTACGAGTCGAGCAATTCAATGTTTTGTATAATATTTGGAAGGGGTCTCTGAAACCCTATAAATACACATGTAATCTTTAAGTGTGAAGCAACCCTCATGGAAGGTGTGATACCAATAAAGTTCACTAGTTGTTCTTCTTCCTATTCTTCAATTCTACTCAATTTTCCACATTTGAATACCTTCAGAGGCACCTATTTAAGCACTCTTTTGATTCCAAGAGACCCTAAACAGAAAATCTAACTCTTCTCCCACAAAACCTCAAGTACACCCAATTTTACTTTTCACCGGTTACTGTCGGTGGCCCGTGAACCTCTTTTATTCTACCACCAAAACCTCTTCTTTAGACAAACACAATAGGAAAGCCAAAATTTCATCAAAGTCCAGTTCCTCTGCATAGGTTGTGGAAAAACTTGTTTACGGTGATTGGAGAGACTTGGGTGTGTTCTCCTTTAGTTTAGTGTCCCAGTTTAAGTTTTAGGGGTTGGGCACATTAAAGAAGCTAAGTTTCTTTGGAATTGTGTTGCGACAGTGATTCTTTGGTGTATTTCACTTACATTCACTTCTTTTATGTTTTGTGTGGGGTCAAATTGCATTCCTTGCTTTTTTATGGATCATATCCACCCCATTTTTAGAGTAGTGCCTTTATCAAATTTTCAAGACTAGAATGTTGTTTTCCTCTAATTTTCCCATTCATTAACTTGGTATTTTATTTTGATTTCTCGCTTTTTTAGGAACTTCTTGTCCACCGTATTATATCTCTATCCTACGAAGCATGGATACTTCGTTAAGATCACCATATCCATATCAGATACCGTATCAGATATGATACTTATCGAATAATTGAGAATACATATCTGATCCAATAATAATAAAATATTTGGATACTTCACCTATACATATCCACAATGCATATACTTTGGATACGAATGTGCATACACAAAATAATATATAAAAGTTTTAGTTTTAATCTTGGTTTTTTGCTCTTAGAGTCACACATAAAGACAAATTCATACAACTTTGAAAACAAATGAGTGTTTCTTAAGTATTATCTACAATCCAAGTCAAATGAGCATAAAATGTGTTAATTGCACCATATTTATTGACAACAAGAATTCCTCAAAAACAAACTAATTAAATCTTGGTTCTAATTAAAGTAATTTTTTTAACCAGTCATGTTCACTTTATGGATATTCCAGAATCAATACTTTCTTGAAACTAAAAACTACTACTTTTTGTATTATTGTTAAAAAATTTACCAAAAATTATAATTATCAAGTTATCAAATAGTAGTAAAAATATCAAGCACATTTTATGATAGACGTATTCTCTGTATCGTTATTTTTAAAGTTTTGCCATATAGTACTCATATCTATAACTGTGTTTCCTAACCTCTATCTCTTTTATTTGTTCATAATATTCTTCTTTTTCATAAAAAAAAATAAAATAAAAGAGCGCGAGTTAATCTCTTAGTGTTCTCCTTTTTCCGTAACTTAAGATTTTCACTCACACAAACACAAATTTAACCACCTATTCAATTGTCACTTGCACTGTCCCTCTTCTCCAATAGCTCCATAGTTGTCTACCTAGATGTTTCCACAAAACAATTTCAAGGATATCAAGAGGATAGCCACATAAATATCAGGAGAAAATTTTCATACAACTCATAGCATCCTGCTCACACCATCATATTAAAGTTATTAGCATTCACTTTCGATAGCACACAAACACAACAAACATGGTACATTGAAAAATATCAAAGTGACAATCACTATATATAAATATCCAGATGTGAAATTACCTATCATTTGCGAGATTCCAAGCTTCTTGTCGCAATTCTGGGGGTGTTTCAAGAACAGCAAGGTAATTTGATATGAACTTATGAGGATGCTCAACATGACAGATAAAACCCATCTCTTTCAACAGATGCCTTTCTGTTCTGATCAAATCTGGCTTCAAATCTATATATTTCTGTCAAAAAAGCAAATAAAAAATCAAGTATAAGGACAACTTTCCTTCAATAGAACATGCACCAGGCTTCTACCACCTAAAGCACTAAAAGTTGCAAAATTCTTTAATAGTTCTCACTAAATATACAATTTATTTTGGATGAACAGAGCCGGTCAAAGTTCTCAAATGTAAATATGGGATTGAAATTTAACCTGTGAAGTTGGCTCCAAGTGCTCTATTGGTAAACCCTCCCTCCTACATTCCATTCTATGGAAAACAATAAGGACATGTCTTGCTTTCCTAGGACTTTCCTCAAGTTTGGATGCAAGCCAAACACAACTAGCAGCAACTCTCTGCAAGCAATCAATATCAAGTTTCATTTGTGCTATTTTCAACTGAATTTAAATATTTGTGTAATAAAACGAACCTTCACATTAAACCGAGCAAATGACTTCTTACAATAAAAACGCTGGAATAAAACCTGACCGGTGGCCATCACTGCTTGAGGTCTGCAGGGACAAAAATTAAGGAAATACACCAGCTAAACGTAGCAGAATAGACAAACAGTATCATTGATTTAATGCCAAAAAGAGATAGTTATGTGGTACACCGGAATTAGAGCAATCTTACTTTCAACAACATTGCAAATTATTTTTGTATTGCATTGCAAGAACACAACATATGAAAAAGGATACAATCTTAGTAAAATGCCACTTTCTTGGATGAGATCACAGCCATAGATTCTAAGGGTTTTTTCAGTGGCTTCATCTAGTCCATCTTTCCTAGAAGGTGAGTTCTTTAGCTGCTCGTCCGTAAGATAAAATGTGTCAATTGCCGTGTAAATCATCGTTGAAGGAGTTCAAAAATCCAATAAACTGTCACAAAGAACAAACCAAATTTGTACAAATCCAAATTCAACAAACACAAAAGAAAGAGAGACAATAAATCAAACTTATACACGTCAAAGACAATATGCACAACAAAAACAGTTGCCTTTAGCTTTTTAATAATAGAATATCAACAAAATTCAGATTCAAGTACAACAAAACTCAAAATCTTAAGTACCAAAATTGCATATTCAGCTTGGATTTTGATTCAAGCAAAAAACAGAAAAATAACATATTCAAGCAAAAATATAAAATCTTGGCAAGCAAAAAACATCATCATCACAAGTTTCAGAAAAACATATGGACAGCAATATTTGGAGTGCATCAACCACAATCAGATCTTGAAGCATGAATCTAAACAACATAGACCCAAACTAACCTAGAGCTATAGAATCAAAGTGAGATCCTACTACTTTGCAAATATGGTGAGACTGAGAAACAAAAATGGAGTTGAGACAGAGAGGGTCCGATGATGACTTCGTATCTACCACTGCTTCTTCAATTTTCAGTCCTCTTTGTCTTTGGTATCTACCACTGCTTCTTTCGGCTTGGCACAAGTGTTGATGACAAAAAAAAACCTCATGGAAAACAGATCTAAGTCTTTGAAGTGCTCTGAACCACATATGGCAAAGAGAAAGAGAGGCGACTGTGGGTTAGGATTGAGAGAGAGAAAGAGAGGAATGTGCCGCTATCTCGATGCATTTATAGGTTTGGGCAACCACCTAAGATTTTATACCATATAAATTACCCGTCCCGTTTGGTACAAATTGATTGTCCAGTTCACACGGGTTCAATAGAAACCAGCCGAGTTTTCAGGTCAACACTGGTGGCATGTTTGGATGGTTTTGGTGTAGGAGGATTAGATTGGTTTTACCTGTGCAGGCGAGGCTTCAGTTGATCCTAGAAAACAGCGGCAGCGACGCGAGGAGTTAATTGGGAGACAGATGCAAAAGGAGGTGATCTTGTTGCTGACTGAGTCTTAATGTCACTCCTGGCTCTCAAAATGCTCAATTAGGCTTTCCACAGATTCCTATTAACCAAGGCTGCTAGTGCGTGCTGTTAGCAATCCAGAATTGTCTACCTCCATTTGGGAAACTCATTGGCTCCCATTGGCCATGAGGCTTTTTTAGTTATTACAGACTGCATCAGTGGTCTTGATCCACATCCTTAGCCGAGACAAATCAGTATCTTTTTTTCATCACAAATTGGGTTGGTGTTCTGTGTACCGTAATACAAGATCGAAACGAACGCATTGTATCCCAAGTGAAAAGCTAAAGAGAAAAGGAACAAGGGGAAGAATCGACGAGAAATCTATAACATAAAATCGTGAATGAAAAAGCGTGACAAGAATTCACACACAAATCATTTCAATTTTTTTTTTTTTGAGTATAATACACATGTAGGACCCATGGACTAATCATAATGATAATCAAAAATTTATTATATAATTGACTAAACGCCCACAAGTCAATCTAATTCATACTCATGTTTGTTTAAGTAAAATTTTTTTTTCCAACTTATAAATTTTATATTTGGTAGATAAGATATTTTATTAGAGGTAGAAAGGTCATTCAACATAACTATCCTCCTGGGTTGGCATATATAAACCCCCCCCCC